CGCTAACTAATTTTAAGCCCGAAATCGAAGCCCGAAACGCGAAACCCGACAAAACCTAAACCCTACTGTAAACCGTAAAACCTAGGTCAAAGGACTTTTGGGCTTGCACTTGAGGGTTTGGGGTTGAGGCTGTTTTCCTCACGCAGTCTGCACCTTGAGCACTCCCAGGTTTTGGGGCTTTGCTGACAGCCCTTGGGATCATGTAATATATATAGAATATCGAGCATGAAATATATGATATATAACAGACCCATAGTACATTATTTATCTTATGCTACATAGTATGGAATATGTAATATATAATATGTATAATATGTAAGATAAAAGAATAGTAATAAATAACAAGCATAATAAAAGAAAAAAATATATCAGGCATAGGAAAAAATATATTATAATTAATTCTGCTTTTGCGCTTCAGGTTCAGGCAGGGAAATTCACGGGCCCGGACGTACCCAACCCCCCACCCCCCCCCCCCCCCCCACCCCACCCCCCCCCCCCCCCCACCCCCCCCCCCCCACCCCCCCCCCCCCCCACCCCCCCACCCCCCCCCCCCCCCCCACCCCCCCACCCCCCCCCCCACCGCAGGAAAGACCAGGCGCCAGAAAGCGCGCGTGGCTACTACTACTCCTACTCCTATTATTATTTATTATTTCTAGCAGTAGTAGTAGTAGTAGTAGTAGTAGTAGTAGTAGTAGTAGTAGTAGTAGTAGTAGTAGTAGTAGTAGTAGTAGTAGTAGTAGTAGTAGTAGTACTACTACTACTACTACTACTACTACTACTACTACTACTACTACTATCACTAGTACTACTACGGCGACGGTGACGGCGACGGCGACGGCGACGGCGACGGCAACGACAACGACAACGACAACGTTCGGACGTGCGGCAAACGCGCGCGTTGGGAAAACGCGCGAATTCAATATCTTTTGTATCTTTCTTCGGAACCAGTTTCGCTGGCCTGCGTGGTACAGCAGCAATTTGAACGGTTGCACAGATCGCGAATGTTCTGCTGGAAGCAGGTTTTGTTTGGGTTAGATCTTGTTTATTTTTCTGAAAAGTCGTGCGTTTCGCGTGGGAGGTCCTTCGGTAGCAACCCATCCGCCAGTCGTGTGGCCTTCCGTTGTGCGGTCATACCGTTGCATGTGTGTTTGTGGCTTTGTATGCTATAAACTAGATTACTTGTTTATAGTAGTTGGCAGTTGCCGAAGCAGTACTGCAGCATTTTCAAGGCCGAGGTGCTTGTGTCAAGACATGAGACCCATATGCGCTTGGGATGTCCAGTATACAAACAATTGGGTCTTGATCCGTCCGCGACGGCGAGGAAAAATCAGTTTGCTGATGTTTGCAGATGTAAGTCCCCACCCTGAACCTGAAATAAGATTCCCTAAACAGAGCCGATGGAGTATCTCATTTAGTTCAAGAGACGAGAGCGCCCTGCAGGTTGCATGGTGGTTAGGCGAGATCGGTGAGTAACATGCTCGGTTGGATTTGTAGCTTGAGCTGACCATGCTGAATCTTTGACATGTGAATATGCAATGCCTCGAGAAACGAAAAGGAAGCATGAACTTGAAATACCCGATTTTTGTGCATTTGGGTGCCATCCAAGACTCACCACATGTAATTCGCACGGTGCTCCCCTCGAAGGATTGATATCATTTGATTCCCAAATGACGCTCATTTGTGAATGGCTAGGACCTACGACTACGCTTTGCATCTTGGATGAATCTTGCACCCATACACTGAGTCATCCAATATCTCATTGTACTTGATTTCACATTGCACAGATTGTGCTCTGTTTTTGGCTGAGCCCGGACCTTGTTTGGTGGATTGTTGAAGAGCCAAATGAAATGTGTCGGATGCTCCCATGTTTCTGTCTGTGTGTCCGGGGGATGGCTGCGAGGAAACCACGAGTTGAGAAAACGTTTCAGCAATTCGACCCAGATGGTTTTGGTCTCCTGGCAGTGACAACCTTACGTGTTTGGGAGCTTCGGTCGCATAACTTCTATCATCGAGGTGCGTCCCAACAGTTACTTCAACCCCAGCAGGCTCGATGAGTTATTGTCGTTGCTTCAATTCCGCAACACCAATTCAAAAAGTTGCAATGATCAAATTGTGCTTGTTGATCACTGCAAGTGGAAAAATTTGGTTTCATCACCTTGCAGAAGCTGAAGCGAGTGGCCAGGCCTGTGATGCTGCGGAAATGAAGCATGTTGAGTTTGGATGTCTGACAGTTGTGAAAGAACCATTGGGCCTTCGCACTTTGACATTCATGTAAGTCGTACAATTGAACACATTTATTTGGGTTTTTGATCATCTTCAACGAGCCGGATACCAGCCAGCATGTTGGCAGGAAGATTCCGTTGTCACACGTTCCCGCAACGACATGTTGAAGGTGCCCATTTGTCAGCCCCGCAAGCATTTCCCTATCAGCAGACCGGCAGCAGGCTCCCCCATGTTACGCGCGGAGACCCTGCGTGATTGATATCGTTCTGCTGCTGAGATGCTGTGCTGCTTGGCCGCCGCCAGTGAAGCTGATGATGCCACCGAGTTCAAAGTTGACGTGGCGCAGCCGGGTGTTGGAGACGGTGTGAAGTATGGCATCAACATTCCCAAGGAGTACTTGGAAAGACTTTGGGTGGACCCTGACTTTCCTCCGACCCATGTCTCCTTAGGTCTTGCCAAGGAGAAGGCCTTGAGCGTAGCAGGAAGGTTGGTGAACCATGCCTGGTGTCCAATTTCCTACTCCAAGCCCGATCTTCCATTGTTTGCCGGGACCATTGATCCAACATCATTGGGCCAGGGTGCCTTGGGAGATTGCTGGCTTATCACTGCAATCTCTACCATGGCAGAATACCCCGAATCGTTGAAACAGCTCTTTCTCACCAAGAAGCACAATGAGATCGGGCAGTATGTCCTTCGGCTCTATGACGCCGAAGACGGTGAGTGGCTGGATGTGAAGGTCGACTCCCTTGTTCCTATCGACTTGGGGGGCGGCATGGCCTACGAAGGGAAGCCCCTTGTTTATGTGAACCCCACCAAGCAGGAGGTGTGGATGTGCGTCCTGGAAAAGGCCGTGGCCAAGCTTTTTGGCAGCTATGCTCAGCTGAATGGCGGATTGGTAGGCACTGGATGGACGGCCATGACAGGGTGCACCGATATCCAGAACTATGAAGGGAATGGTGAGACCTTCAAGAAGTTGCGTAGCGGCTTTGACCTGCAGCTGTTGGATGCAGAATGGGACAAGCAGCGCGAGAAAGAGCACGCGCTTATGAATGCAGAAGAGTTCTTCAAGCTGCTTGATGAGTTTGATGGCAGGCACTTCCTCATGTGTTGCGGCATCATCGCCAAGAAGAATCCCAACCTCAAGGAGAATGTGGATGATGAGGGCAGTGACTTGCTGTTGGTTAGCAGGGGAATGAGGAAATTCGAGCCCTGTATATTCTGTGAGGGGTTATACAAAGGGGTACCTCATTCCCCCATTCCCTCCCTCCTAAGCAACAGCAAGGTGAGGGCACCTGGGAGAACGGCCTCTACACCAAGCACGCCTATGCGATCCTGGGAACCTATGAGGGCCATGGGGTGCAGTTGATCCGATGCCGAAACCCTTGGGGCACAAGCAAGGAGTACGACGGTGATTGGGGTGATCAGTCCTCCAAGTGGAAGGAGTTTCCAGAAGTGGCCAAAGAAGTGAAGTTTGAGCCGCGCGCAGATGGTGTTTTCTGGATGTCAGCCAAAGATTTCTGCTCCAACTTCACAAACGTGCAGGCCAGGGTGGGTTAGATGTTCCCAAACATGTTTCTAAAAAACATGGCTGAAAGTTTTGCAGGACATCAACGGCAACTTCCAGAGTTTGATCTAGATCCTTGTTCCCCTTGGCTGGAACCTTATCTTTCTGAGGTGCTGAAGCAGAGCATGCCCGGACCAAAATCCGTGGAGCTCCCCTACGAGGCGGCGCGGGCCAAGAAGATGAAAGAAGACGCTGAACGGCTTCAACGGGTCAAAGCCGAGCTCTACGAGAATCTCGGCTCCTCTGTAGGTGACGAGGGGGGGAACCTGGTCCCATCAGAGAACCGGGATCCGAGTCAGGTGTCTACCGAGTGCAAGGAGTAGAACGAGTCAAGAAATGAGGTGCTGTGAACGATTCTTGGAAGGTCACGACATGGGTGACAAATACGCTGAATAGCCTGCCAAATTCAGATTGCAGCAGCTACGCAGTGGAAAGCAACGCAGAGCAATGGCTCGTAGACCGGAGTTTCTCAGACCCCGGCTCTTCGGTTCCTCCCTCGTGGAATAGCCAACCTCATACAACTCTTAATCCCAATGCAGAATACTCGGAGACAATGTGACGGGTATCCAGATTTGATGTTTCGTGGGTCTCTGACATCCAAGGAATGGTGGATGGTACACAGGGGAAGCTGTGAGTTGGCGAGGTGGAGATCCACAGCCAGGCATGCGCATCTATGAAGACCCTGAGACGTTCAAGTATGTTGCCAAGAGGCTCGTGGAGTTATGGGGATGCCCTGATTTCATGTCCAAGGACTTTTCAGAGCACGCCAGAACCAAGCTGCCCCCAGTACTCAGGAAGGAATTGATAGACCGGCACAGGGCTACGGCCCCCAAAGGGCGACGCTAAAAGCAAGATAACTCCAAAGTTCAAAACCTTTTGACACAAGGTAAGTCTTGCGAAGCCTTCGGATGGGCATGGCTTTGTACAGCTCGGACCTTTAAAAGGCGACACCTGACGAATTCCTGCTCTTTTTCCGTGCTAGCTGCTGGTTAAATCCCAGCAGCGCGGACATGCGAACGGTTTCACCACGCCCCATGAAGGCCTTGGCGGTGTCCCAAAAACGAGCGATAGACAAGCAACCAGTTGGTTCGAAGTTACCAGCCTGGAAAGCCAGTGGTCGTTGGCTCTTCCTTGGCATCCTGGGTTTGGGTGGATAAAGAAACAAGGAACAACACACGATGGAGTGAGCAATGGCAGAAAGTGACGAAATCCTCACGAGAAGTCAAAGGCGTGGAAGAATATGATCAGCAGATAGAACAAGAACAATTGAAACGCAAAAATAGACAGATCCACGGGGAGATCACGTTTCGTTTTGCGCCTTGTGTTTCCGGGCTAGGAACTTGGGAAAGATCTTCGTGAGGAGCATCTGCAGGAGCCTAGTGGCTACCACCTTGAGCTGCAGCTAAGCTGCAACAAACTCGGAGTATTGTAAATCATGGCATAATCATGGTGTAATGATTACGGGTATAAAAATCATAACTCGTCAGGGCAATAGTAGAACTGCTCAAGAATTAACGTATGCAATGGTTTAGTAATTGTACATAGTCATGGTACGTATGATCATGAAACGCTAGCGGTATCATAGTAAGCACACAGTGTATTGTGTCTCCGCAACAGGACAGTTTTTGCGTTTTTGGGTTTGAGAGCAGACGGGCTTGTGTAACCTCCTTTGTCGCGGAAGGAACGACAAAAGCCTTCAAAACGAGTCCATGCTGAGGATGGAGTAAACAACTTCAAACCCCAAACCCCAAACCCCAAACCCTAAACCCCAAAACCCAAACCCCAAACCCCAATCCCTAAACCCTAAACCCTAAACCCTAAACCCTAAACCCTAAACCCTAAACCCTAAACCCTAAACCCTAAACCCTAAACCCTACACTGCAACTTGAGGAGTGATAGGAGTCGTTTGCTTGGCAGTGCGAGGTCTCGCCCCATGCCAGGACATGTTGGATCTGGCTGACAAGGACCTTGGCCCTTCGTGGCCTGTCGGCGCTCACGTAGAAAGGGTGGGAAAGAGTGGTGCGACAACGCAAGCCATTTTGAGATGGAAGCAAAGAACTTCTGCCATTGGCGCCAAGCCTCCCAGCTTTCAATTTCTCATCTGCTTCCTGGGATTGTTGCCCCGGGGTTTGCGTGCGATTGTGTTGCATGAGGATAAAGGTGGGGTTGTAAGTCAAAACGACTTCATGATCTTTATGGAGGACACGGGGCTGCTCCGGCAGTTTTGGTGCGTTTGGTCAATTCTGAGAAGTTTACATAGATCCAGCAGATTGAACTTTTCAAGACTTTTCAAGCTGACTGCAACCAAACCTCGAGTTATATGTTGATCTGTTGAGCATGGTTGCAAACCGGATGTTCTTCTGCTTTTTGTAAAGATTTTAATGTCACTGCCTGTCTTGTCTACCTGGGCGTAATCTGAGCGGTTTTAGCTTTGATCGGGTCAACCACCGCTTCCACGTGTGCCCCCGAGGTTGAGTTTCTTCATATCTCAAGAACATGTAGGTTTCCCTGTGGTGTAGGAACGTGGCATGTGGTGATGTCAGCAATGTATGCTCAGTCCCTTGAGTAGCTCGTGCTTTCTCCTAGGAACAGCGTATGCTGGCTCAGAGTGGCGAAGTACGGCTCAGAATCCGTGGAATCCTCTCTGTTCCCAGCGTGGAACTGGTGGCCCTTCTGGGCTACTGAGAAGGTGTCCTCCGCCCGGCATTCGACAGGTTTCAAGCAAAAAGGGTGGATTGCTGGGACTTGGTGAAACATGGTGAAAACGACCTCATCCACCAGCCACCTCCAGTTTGGCTACCTGCCAAAACATTTTTTTCGAATCTCACGTTTGCTCCACACTGCGAGCTCGTCCAGGTGAGGACTTGCCCACGCACCGAGCAGATCATGATCCGACTGGTTGTCCCAACAAAACTAGATGTTGGGTTTCTGCCAGGAAGTTGGTACTTAGTGAGGAATCTCCGAGGGCCATTGGTCCTCCTTCAGACTTTTTGACATAAACAAGACTCTTTAGTTGAAGTCCCCAAATCGCAACCGCTCAAGGAGCGGCCCTGCACGGACATGTTGATAGGACATACATGGGGGGTTTCCGAAATTAGAGGTATTTTATTGGGGCCACTAAAAAGGATTGGATGTTTTCTTCTACAGATTGACCGACAACTTTCAGCGTACCGAATATACCGATCTTTCTTTGTTGAAATCCGATCGCAAACGCGTAAAGAAACGGGCGTGCAGGAACAACATGTGTAATGTTTTTGGATTTAGCATCTCAATGCCGTGCACTCGAGTTCATGTAAGCTTATCACTGGCAAAAGCAGGATTTCGTTTATGGGTCGCCCTTTTGCCACAAAGGACTTTGCAGTGCTTTTGAAGGCAAGTCGAAAATGTCCCCAGATGGCATGCCGTTAAGCACATCGGTCGGTGAGAACAGTTCCCAACTCGAGCTGCCCTGCTTTGATTATGTCTTGCCTTGGATTCGCAAGTTAAGTCACAAATCAGAGAGTGTAAGCAAATCCGTGTGAAACATTGGTTTCGATGATCGCCGTGTCAAACATTGGTTTCGATGATCGCAGTCCAAATTCGGTTGATGTGAGCGCAAGGGGTCTTCAGGGATTTGAAATGTGAACATATGGAATGTTTGTTCTTGTCGATGGTGGTGTTGTTTGTGCTAAGTTTCCTTGCTGAGGCGATCTTGGTGCATCTTCGATCACGTTGCTTTTGAACTTGTAGCCAGCATGTTTGATTAATCTCATGTTCAGGCTGGTATTTAGCATCGTTTCCACTTTGGCTCCGCCGCTCTCAGATCACAGGTGACGCATAGTCTGCATACTCAGCATGTGTGAGCCGCGAAGTTTAACGAAACTGTCATGCTTGACGTTGCAGCGCCCCACCCTTAGGAAGTGTCGAACATGGCACACCCCGGCAACCTTGTAGTCGTAGCTTCAAGGAAACGTAATCTGGCACAATTTTACCCGAGATTGTGTTACATGAATGGCGGCCGTGGAGGCAAGACTTTGATTCGGAGCTTAGTGCTTGGGGCCCGCATCATTGTGCCCTTGCCTCAGGAGGAGCTCTTGTCTGAAGCCGCAATTCCGTCAAAGGTGGGCTGACGACGACGTGGAAAGTTTCGGCATGCTGTCGTTCACGAAACATGTCTGGGCACATACGCAGGGCACGATGCAAAAAGACATCAACCTGCACGCTGCCGACCAGCGAGTTGAGGTGGGTTTTTGTGACTTCCCAGACAAATATGGGTGCTATGTGCTGTTCGTGGTGTTTGTGGGACATCCAAGAAAGCGCCCCCCCTCCATATCAGCCGTTCGAATGTCGTGTCGCTTCGCCGATTGTAACCCGATGAGGCCATACCACCCACTTCGTGCGCTAGTTGCAAGCAATTGCTTAATTGCTTTGTGTCGAATGTCGGGAGGTTGTGTCCAAGAAGGCAGCGGGCCCAGTCTTGTGTTGAGTTTGCAGCTTGTGCCATGAGTCGTCTAGGTGTGGTAGACCTGAAGCTGGACAACCAGCACGCATTGAAGCTACTTTCTTCCGTGTCGTGTTTTTGTATTCTGCCTCACCTTTTTCTACCTTATTCCAAATTTCTCCGTACGAGATGCGGGCTTCGAGCCATGCTCCCAAGTTTTACTGCAGCTTCGCGCTGAGGCTCGAGATTTGCTGGATGCATCCGCTGCGCTGGAGATATCGTTGCGTGAGCACAAGGAGCGCATGGAAATGAGCGCATGGGAATGCACAGGCTCTGGCGGCTCGGGTTTGCAAGTTCTGGGGTCTGGATGTGTGCTTTGGGATTGTTCCCGCCTTTCGTCTTGGGGACTTCCAGATGTTTAGGATTTGTTTTTTGGATTCTCATGTTCACGATGTTGGGATTTCAGAGGTTTTATGCTTAACTGGTCATACAGCGGCCACCGAGACGTCAAGACGATTTTGCTGTGCTTCCGTTTTGTGTGAGCTCGTCATTGTGCTGAGCAGTGCAGGACTTTCTGCAAGCATTGGCCGGCTTGGGCGATAGAGCAAGCAAGCTCGATCCAGGCAGGTGTCGGCATCGGATCTTGAAGCGTCCTGTGAAAACTTTTCTTGCAGATTGCCAGACTCTTCCCAGAGCCCCCAAAACCCAAACCCCAAACCCAAATTTCAGGCCTAGCGGCACGGGCCGGCCCCCGCACCCCAAAGCACGAAACCTTGAACCTTGGCACTGTCTTCTCTTTCCGTTTTCTTTGTCCTTTGTCTTTGTCTCTCTCCTCTCGCTCTCTTTCCATTTTTCTTTGTCCTTTTTTCTTTTTCGCTCTCCTCTCTCTCTCTCTCTCGCTCTCTCGCGTGTTTTTTTTTCTGTCTTTGTTTCTTCCTCTCTCTACTTGCCTGTTTTTCTTTTTCTCTGTATTTATCTTTCTCCTCTTGCTTCCCTGCGCTTCCTTGTTTTTATATCCTCTTTCTCTTTATCTTTTCGTCTCTCTTTATCTTTATTCTCCTCTGCTTCCTTGTTTTCATGATCTCTTTCTCTTTATCTTTTTTGTTTCTCTTTCTCTTTATTCTCTGTCTCTTCAATATCTTTTTCCTTCTACTTCTCTTTGTCTGTCTCTCTCTCTCTCTTTCTCTTTCTCTTTGTCTTGCTGTTGGTCTTTCTCTGTTTCTTTTCCTCTCTTTGTTTCTCCTTCACCTCTCTCTTTTTTCTTTTCTTTCTGTTGCTGTTAGTCTTCCTCTGTCTGTCTCTCTCTCTCTCTCTCTCTCGCTCTCTCTCTTCTTTGTTTTTTTTTAAAATCTCTCTCCCTCTCTATCTTCTCACTTTCTCTTGTTCGTTCACCTTTCTCTTCTTCGTTCACCTTTGTCTCTTTTTC